GTTTTAGTCAGGGTCCTCTCTCTTGCTTAATTTCTTTAGATGTACAGGTTTTAGTAGGTTTATCTTATGTTGTATGTCTGAGTGAGTATATACCTGTGTGTCTTTTTGCTTCTGGGACAGCTCACTCAGGATGATCCTTTCCAGGTCCCACCATTTACCTGCAAATTTCATTATTTCCTTATTTTTCATTGCTAAGTAATACTCCATTGTGTAGATGTACCACTATTTCTGTATCCATTCTTCAGTTGAGGGGCATCTGGGCTGTTTCCAGCTTCTGGCTATTACAAATAAAGCTGCTACAAACATGGTTGAGCAAATATCCTTATTGTGTACTTGAGCCTCTTTTGGATATATGCCTAGGAGTGGTATGGCTGAATCTTGAGGAAGCGCTATTCCTAGTTGTCTGAGGAAGCACCAGATTGATTTCCAGAGTGGTTGTACCAGTTTACATTACCACCAGCAGTGGAGAAGGGTTCCCCTTTCTCCACAACCTCTCCAGCATGTGATGTCACTTGAATTTTTCACCTTGGCCATTCTGATGGGTGTAAGGTGAAATCTCCGGGTCGTTTTGATTTGCATTTCCCTAATGGCTAATGAGGTTGAGCATTTCTTTAAGTGTTTCTCTCCCATTCGATATTCCTCTACAGAGAGTTCTCTGTTTAGCTCTGTTCCCCATTTTTTAATTGAATTACTTGATTTGCTGCTTTTCAACTTCTTTAGTTCTTTTTATATACTGGATATTAGTCCTCTGTCAGATAAAGCGTTGGTGAAGATTCTTTCCCAATCTGTAGGCAGTTGTTTTGTTTTGATGACGGTGTCCTTTGCTTTACAGAAGCTTTTCAGTTTCATGAGGTCCCATTTATTGATTGTTGCTCTTAGAGCCTGTGCTGTTGGTGTTCTGTTCAGGAAGTTTTCTCCTGTGCCAATGAGTTCTAGGGTATTCTCCACTTTTTTTTCTAGCCGATTTACTGTGTCTGGTTTTATGTTGAGTTCTTTGATCCACTTGGACTTCAGTTTTGTGCAGGGTGACAGGTATGGATCTATTTGCATTTTTCTACATGTAGACATCAATGTGGGCATTTTCTTAATTAGTGATCACTGGGGGAGGGCTCAGCCCGTTGTTGGTGGGGCCACCCCTGGGCTAGTGCTGCTTGGTCCTAGAAGAAAGTAGCTGAGCGAGCCATGTGGAGCAAGGCAGCAAGCGCATGGCCTCCGAGTCAGCCCTGCTCCAGATTCCTGTCCGGCTTGAGTCCTGTCCTGCCTTCCTTTGTGTTTAACAGCAATGTGGAAGTTTAAAGTGAATGAGCCATTTTCTCCCCAGCTTGCTCTTTGGTCATGGTGTTTCATTGCATCAATAGAGACTAACTAAACACTAAGACAAAATGTTTTACTACTGAAGCAGTTTTCTATTACTGAGATAGAATTTGATGCCAGCTTAATATTTGTGTACAGGAAACTATTGACTGTGTAACTAAAAGTAACCATGTCTTAGTGATGCTAATAATAATAATAATAATATGTGTCCCCATAGGCTAAAGGTTGTTCTACACACGTCATGGCTCGGCACTCTTAACCTTCAAGGCAATCGTATGATGATCCCCCTGGTGCAGATAAGGAATGTGAGATTAGATGCCAGACACTCGCTCAAATGCGTGCTCTAAGGAAGAGTCCCGGCTTCAAAAGCCCCTTCAGAACCACGTGTCCCTACTTAATGCTCCCTGTGTAAAACGTTTCTGCGAGGGCTGAAATGGCACACCTCTGCAGGTGGCACACTGCGCACCTCCCTATACAACTTTGCATATCAAACTGCATCTTGAAATGATTTGCTAAACTATTATCAGATAAGACTATGAAATGGAAACAATCCAGGCTCATTAGCCGTGTTTCCTATTCTGTGGTTACGCTACAGTCCCCAGGACAAATTTTATATGTATATATCTCAAAATGTTAGCATATTTCTTTAGGCAAACCACTCATTTGCTTAATAATTACAATTAAAATTTTTCACGTACAAGTTGATTTTCATGTGCACCAATCTCCTTACACGTGTTAATGACTGTGTTTAGAAGGAAGCACTAAGACTCACCATACGGATCTGAATCCTTTTTTATCACTAGACACGGTGTATCAGATAGCATCTTCACCACTTCAGTCTGTGCGGTGCCTCGAGGCAGAAATGGAAGAAACTAAAGCAGCAGCCAAAGGTTTAGACAGTGTGGTTCGTTCTCACCACACAGAGTGGGCTGATTTGGCAGTGATCTAGCTTATATAACAGGTTTGCCAGCTCAGCTGATGATCAGGATCGCTGAAGCAGCGATCTTCGGCTGGCAATGTGCAGGCTGATACTCACAATCTCATCTTCAGCGACAATACATACCAGTTGTACATTTTCAATCTTTCACTATTAAGGACAGGTTGGGGGACGGACAACCACATGAAAAAGGAATTTCTGAGGACAGACGTGCAGGTTAGCATAGGAAAGGGCAGGATATTTACCTGGACAAAAAGCAGTCTATGGCTAACATTTTAAGTTCTTCCAATCTTTTCCCATGAGAATACCACTATTGTCAACATTTATAGTTATTTTAATATTATATTTTTATTTATTTTTGAATTACATACATGTATACCATGCATTATTATAAATGTTGCTATCATATTCCTCAGATCTTATCTTTCAACTTTTATGTGTTACCTCATCCCAGCATTACTATTTTCAGTTTTAACTTAGCTTGTCCATCGGCAGCCCCGGAGACTGAACCTACAGTTCCGGGCATGCCAGGTGGGTGCACTGGAATATATTGCTAGCACAGTGATGTTTTTGTTTTACTTTGAGACAGAATCTCACTAATTTACTAAACTTGGTCTGGAACTCCCTCTGTAGCCCAGGCTAGCCTTGAACTTTTCATCCTCCTGCCTTGATCTCTCAAAGAGATAAGATTTCAGGCCTCTTCACCAGGCCTGGCAGGTATTGCTGCTTTATAAAAGATTTCTTTAATGCTTGAATTCCACTACTTTAAAACACTTCAAGTTTGCCTTTTAAGCCAAGATTTTTAATCTTTAATCATAATTTGAAAATTATGTGTTTTATTTTTTTCTTGAAAAGAGGAGGATATGTGTTTTATCCATGACTTAGATTAGAGACGTGTTCAGCAGAAAAAGGTGAACTAGCCCCATGAAGGGAAATGTTTTCTGTCTGGTAGCACGTTTGCTTAATTCTGCACCCAAAGAGGCAAAGGTATGCACTGCTAAGTAGCTCCTCAGCACTGCTTGGCACCCACAGAAAAGGCGCAAGCCCCCGGCAGAGCTGCTCATGACTTTCATGATAGGAGCGTGGCACGCGATGGGAATAAATTACATGTAATATTAGTCACTGTAAGAAGAATGTCCTTAGCAGGCCTGTCCTATTTAGCTGCTGTCTTCATTGTTAATAAGCAGAATCGTGTCACTGCTGTGTCACCGTCTTGGAAGTAGGCCCACCTTTCAGTAGGGACTTTCTTTAAATTACAAGAGCCATGCTACTCGTCACCATTCGTGAAAACTGCTGTTTTCTGTGGAGTATCTTCAGTACTCTGCATGTCAAACTTTACCTGAGCCTTCCCCTCATTGTCTCTCTGCACTGAGAGGTCAAGTCCAGGAGGCTGACTCTAGTCAGTAGGACACCTGGGGATGTCACTCTTCCTGTTTGGATGGATCGCAGATGCTTGCAAACACCTGCTGTTAGATGACCGGCTCACCCACAGCCAGTGGTTATTGTAAGAACTATCCAATCTATTAAGCTTTTGTAATTCTTTGCTAATAGTATCGAGCATGTATTAGCAAACTGAAAATGTTAGTTTGGGTTAAAAAGACTTCCTCATTCTTTAAAATGGTAGAGCTATATATAGAATCACAGAGTTATGGACATTTTAGAAGGAAAATAGTCTAAACTTTGTATTTTAAATGTGGAAAACATTCCCAATTCTAATTCAAAACTTCCACACATTCTGTTTTTTCAGATAAAAGGGAAGTGATACAATTATACGAAATCTTTAATTTTTCAAAGTAGAAACCTTGTGATTAAGTTGGGTGGTTTCTCCAGAAAGACATTCTGAGTTAGTAAACCACACACAAGGTTTCATTCGATATCATGACGTGCTGTCCCACGCATTCCTACCCGTGTTTAACTGTGCCAGTCGACAGCTTCCTTTATCATCCCTGCCCTGGAACCCTGAATAAAACTGTGTTCAATTGTGTCATAAAGAAATTTGTGCTGGGATTTTCTTTTGAATGTGTGACTGTGGGTTAAATTTAAAAAGCTGTGTCACACAACCGTAATGACACCTTTCCTGGACTTTACTCTGTATGAACTTTGTGAGGCCAGTTCTTCTTGTTTCGTACAAATGGGGAGAGGATGGCTTCTTTTATGTCCTGATGACATGTGGGCCAATCAGAAGACCATCAACAGGGCTGAGCGATCCTCAATGGCTTCTAGTTTCCATGAGTGCAGCTGGTCTAAATACAATCACACAGTTCCCATGACCGGTCATTACCAGTGTCGTCATTACCGGTTCAACAAAATCCACCTGCTGTTTAAAGAAAGCTGACTGTGGAGTGCAATGAGAGGGTGTTATCTGCACGAGAGTCTCAGGTAAATGGAAGTATTCAAGTTCATTAGTGTGTTTTTGGTTATGCAACATCATCGAATATCAACTTCTGCTTTCTGTAGAATGAATTAAAATATTGTGTTCAGAATTAAGGAGATTAATTAATGCAGAGTTTTTATACAGGCAAGTTCCCCACCTGTACGTCACCACATCTCTGCAAAAGCAACTCATTTCCATCTGAGTTTTTCTCTAATTAAAATTTTTATCAAGTGAAAATTATAGATAAACAAAATTGATTTTTTCCAAAATTAGAGCAACCTCTAAGAATTGAAAGTGTACTTTATCTGAGTTACATTTAATTAAAAATGCAGGAGCCTTCTGTGGTGTCGGCACACTGTCTCTTTTGTCTTACAGGAGCCTCAGTTGCCAGCGGATTACCTTACATAAGAACCTGTTCTTTTCCTTTGTCTGTAATTCAATTGTAACAATTACTCACCTCACCGCGGTGGCCAACAACCAGGCCTTGGTGGCTACAAATCCAGTAAGTGAAATATGCTGTAGCTTTGAGGATTAGTGGGAAGAGACTTGGGCTGGGGGCTGGTTTCTGATAGAATATGTATGTCCTGAAAAAAATCTTTATGTAAACTTTCGGTTTAACACAGAAAACATAGCTCAGCTATGTTGTGGCCTAAGAAGGCAAATTTCTTCAGTATTTCCACAGCTTCAGTTCATGTCGTAGCTGTGGACTCCAGGTGGCCCTCGGGACTGTGACTACACCAGTTTGTTCAATCCAATTTAAACCGCAATCAGTGCAACTGAGTACCCCGTGAAAGAAAACAATGCGCGTAATGGGAACTTCAAGTTACGTTTTGGTGTCAAGCTTACATTAAACATTAATAAAACCAGAAAGAGAAGGATTTGCATACTTTGTATGTACAGTAACCTTAAACGCCGTTAAAATGAAATGTTAGAGGCTCTCCGTCTCAGTGCACACTGATGAACTCTTCTTCCTATAAGCCATACTTAAAATATATGCTACAGTTATCCATGATGTGTACATATATGTAAACCATACTTGGGTTCAAATACATGTACCCGTGGCAGGAATGTTCACACTTTCAGAGCCATCTACCTCGGCATTGTGGCGAGACTCTGGTTTTGGATTTGTGTGTGTTTGTGTGTGTGTGTATGTGTGTGTGTGCGTGGTGGGTGTGTAAGTGTGTGTTCCTGAGCACATCAGTTGTGTTTCCGGATTATGTTATCCGGTTACTGAAATCAGGGAAGGGAAGGAGTTTCCAACAAGTGGGAAATAACACTCGTGTGTGTTACGTGTGTTTTCAGGGTAATTTACAAAGTTGTAACGTTTTCCCATTGTTTGAGTGTGTGTTTCTGGGTTGCTATCACTGCGTCCTCTCTGAAGCCACTGGGCAGGAAGCAGACCGGGATATAATCAGAATAAAACACTGGCGGCGTTCTGCCCTCTCAGAACGGGTTTCTCCAGGAGGAGGAAGTCTGTTTGTAACACAGCCTGGGTTTCTAGCACTTGGAAGGACGTGCAGCTAATCCACAAAGTGTAAGTTAGGGTACGGTGAAGTTGCTATTTGGAAAAAAGCATTTTCTGATGATGGTAACAGAGCCCTCAACGGAAATGCTTTTCTGAAGTATGTCCTAAATGCTTTTCCTCTCAATAGTTTATATTAATTTTAAATTATCAGCAGAATCAAATTTAATTAGATAAGAATTTGATACCTATATAAATATTGAAGGTTAAATACACTATAAATATGCTCAAATATATGTAGTTAAAAGTTATTTTATCTTTTCAAGACTTGAATGTCATAAAACACATACTACATTATTTAAAATTTAGTAAATGAATCCTTAACACATGTTAAATGAAGAAATGATGTTACAAATATCCTTTAGGAAGGTGTTATTACCTAGAGTAATAAAAATAGAATCATAGTTTTTGTTTAAGGTGCAACTCTGATTAATGTTATATGAATATTTGCAAATATTCTCACTTTTCTACTAGTTTTTTTATCTGTGATGCGTGATAATTTACAGTGCATACCTCACAGAAATATTCAAGAATTTGATTAAAATATGTATAAATGATAATAGTACAAACACTTTAAGGTGACATTTATGCAAATGCTATTCATTTTAGTCCATGATAACTCTAAACTTATTTATCAGGGCTTTCAGTTTCTAATATAATATTTATTTCAAAAAAATGCAGTAAGCACTAACTATATATTGAATTTCAGACTGAAATTCTAACGATTTCCACATACTGCTACATTTATTTACTTTGGTAAGGGAAGACCTGTATCTCTCAGCTCCTTTGTATTTTCTTTATCTGATATTTTGATCTCTAATCTCTATTCTCTAATTCTCTAATCTATAAGAGAAGAGAAAACAGGAACCCTAGAAAAAGAGGAAGCAAACCCACAGTTCTTTATCTGTTATGAAAAATCTCACATATTTTATATCTGGACAATGAGTGGGTTCATTAGAGAATTACTGACCAAGTTTTATTTGTGCTTTTGGTTTGAAAGCTACAAAACTTACCAATAGCATGCATGTTTAATGAAGCACTGATAAGCCTGTCAATGTTTTTTTCTAACAGAAAACAACAACCCAAATCAAAACAATTGTGCAGTGGTGTGTGTGTGGACTGCTACATTCATAATTATGTAACAACTAGAACACACCAGGAAAACTGGTACCAACTAAGCAGAGGGAGATTGTTTTGTTTTGAATATCATATGATTCTTATGAACCGATAGAGTACCTGGTTAACAACTTTAGAGCCATCGTGGGCTGAGTGTTCAAAAGACTGTACGACTCAGTCTTCCTAGAGCGCACAGTTCTGAGTGGGGGACAGAAAATGCCCATGGTTTCAGAAATACGCCGGACGATTGCTTCGCATGTGAATTTCATGAACTAAGACAACCATCTTTCCCCCTCAGGTGAGCTGTAAGGTGTTTCAGTTCATCCATCTCTACCTGATGGGCTGTAACTACTTCTGGATGCTCTGTGAAGGCATTTACCTGCACACACTCATCGTGGTGGCCGTGTTCGCGGAGAAGCAGCACCTGATGTGGTATTACTTTCTTGGCTGGGGTAGGTGCCACTGCCACCACCTGCCTAATCACCTGACTAAGGAGGCCTGTAGCTCTGAGATTTTTCTCATTGCAGTACATTGAAACATGTAAAGAGAGCAAAGCATCACAAAGTCGTGATTTTGCTAGTCTCATTTTGATGAATAACATGATACCTTTTTTATATTTGACATCCCAGTGACGAGTTTATTCTAGATGAATGCATAGTGACTAAAACAATAGAATTAAAAGTCGGGATCTAGTTTCTGCACTTGTCTGAATTTTCTTTTTTCATGTGTAAAATGAGGACATTGGTGCGAAGTAGCTTTAGAGTGCCATCCAAAAAAAATTTAAGATTCTCTCTCTCCTCTCTCTCTCTTTCCTCTTTCTTTCTTTCTTTCTTTCCCTCCCTCCCTCCCTCTCTTCTTTCTTTTTCTTTCTTTCTTTCCCTCCCTCCCTCCCCCTCTCTCTCTTCTTTCTTCTTCTTTCTTTCTTTCTTTCTTTCTTTCTTTCTTTCTTTCTTTCTTCCTTTCTTCTTTCTTTCTTTCTTTCTTTCTTTCTTTCTTTCTTTCTTTCTTTCTTTCTTTCTTTCTCTTTCTCCCTTGGTTTTGAAACAGGATCTTTTTGGCTTGGAACTTGCTATGGAGATCAGGAAGGGTTTGAACGCAGAGATTCACATATCTGCCTCCTGAGTGCTGGGATTAAAGATGTGTGTCACCACATCCAGCCCTGCTGAGATCTCTTTAAACTGCCATTTCATAGCTAAATTTTGGGGGGTCAGTAATTGAACAAATGCATACAAAAGATCTGCTTCTTTTACGTAACCTCTTGGCATTGGGTCACTCGCAAAGCAAACCTGAATCATACTGCTGTGCTTTTAAAGGCCGTTGGAATAATGTGTGTGGGTAAAATAGATAGGAAATGAATTCAATAGGACTAATTTCTGGGGATTTATTTCTTTATGATCTATCAAATGAAAGTGTAGAAATTGAGGTACATTCAAGAAGTATGCATGTACACACACCAAACTGTCAATAGATTCTGATTTTCTCTATACGACATTTCTTCACTTCAGATTTTTCAAGGTCTTGTTGAGAAGCCTGAAAACATGCAGAAATCTTGGTATAGGAAACACATTTTTCTCTCTTCCTTCAGAAAATAACTTACTGCGAATCTTAAAACAATTATCAGTTTAAGCATTTTTCAATTTTTGATATTAAATTTTAGCCAATTTCATCCCACAGAAATTATATGAATACAGAAATTCTTCTAAGGATAGTGACTTAGGCAGCATGTAATATTTTTAATCTCTGCAGTTTTACTGATTCAAAGTGGTGTGACATTCAAACTTGATAGTTTAGCACATTTAGGCAATTACACAGAAAAAAATAGGTGGCTAATTATTTTGCTACTAAGGTGTGTCTGAAGTTTGATCATGACTTCTTGGAGAAGCCCTGTCTGTAAGGGATGTGACCCATTCGTTTCCTTTGCATTCCTTGTAGGGTTTCCTCTGCTGCCTGCCTGCATCCACGCCATCGCCAGGAGCTTGTACTACAATGACAAGTAAGATGTCTTCCGTTTGTGACTTCCATTAGAACTAAGCGAAATGAAAGTCTTCTTTCTAATGTCTTCATTTTATCCCCTAGTTGCTGGATCAGCTCAGACACTCATCTCCTCTACATAATCCATGGTCCGATTTGTGCTGCCTTACTGGTATGTAATGAAAACTCGCTGTTTATCGCGAGTTTTCAGTCATACTTCCTGAATCTCCTCTCCCCACGTCTCAGTCAGAGCTGATGCACTGCGTAACTGAGTAAGCTTTGGCGAAGCTGTGGCGTTTATAATGTAAGCACGCAAGGTAAATGGCTAGTTTGCAAGCGAGGGAGAAGGATCACGAAGAGGCAAGTGTGGGAGCTGCTTTTGCTGCTGAGCTTGTACCGGGGTCAGAGCTGCTCCAACAGAGTTAGACAAATGCTAAGAGTAACTCAGCAAGCACTCGGGCTCTGCCTAGTGGGAAACAGCGGCTGCTCAAACCACAGCCAGGCAGGGAAGCAGCAGCAGCAGCAGCAGCAGCAGCAGCAGAGAGAAATCCTCAGACTTTTTCTCTTCCTGATTTCTTCGTTCCTCTTGCTAGCCAAATACAGTAAATGTCAGAGGCCTGAGTGGTGATACCGCAAATGCTGCCTCTAGGGGAGGAGCAGAACAGAAGCTCTGCTAAGAAGCTGCAACACGCCTCTGCAAGAGGAAGGGGCCAATGAGGAAACAACTTTGTTTGGAAGGAGCAGTGCTTAATGTTTTCTGTAGTTGTGACACATCACTTAATGGATGCAGCAACTGGACATCTTTGAATGTGGTTGTGTTATCAGAAATTTTGTAGAGCCATAATTTTTCTTTTGGGTTCTTATTCTCCTTATTCAAATTTAGAAAAAGACATTAAACAAACAAACAAATCAAGGTCAATGTTATTACAGTTTAAGAGTAAAACAGACAAGCCTTAAATCTCCCCAGCTGGAGGAAGGAAGAGGAGGACGAGAGAAAGACAAGCCTTTTGTAAGCAGCCACATGCAGAAGATGGGAGCTTCAGAGAAAGAGTGAAAAGCCTAGAAGCATCATGAAAAGCATGCTAAGTTTTGGGGAAAGAAATAGAAGGTACAAAAAAAAATTGATGCTCCTTTGAGTAACTCAGAAAAGCAGGCGTTCTCAGTCTCCTCAGGAAGCTGCAAACTTCACATACGGGGAGGGGGTTGGGAAAGAGTGAGTACATTATCTCATTAAGTGGGTAATTATTTTCCCCACCTCGGGATGAATCGGTTTTCCTGAGGGGTGGTACCATGCCACAGTGATTGACAGGTACCATGCCACAGTGATTGACAGGTACCATGAAGTAGACTGTCTCTTAATGTCTTCATTCGGGGACAGAGTTAGACTCAATCTTTCCTGGAGGAAATATCTCTCCCTATTAAGCCTTAAGAGAGCACTAATCCCCAGCCCCAGTGACCTCCAAGTCTACAAGATTCCTGAATTAAGAGTGTTGAAAATCATTTAGGAAATAGTCTGAGACTGATGAATAGACACAATGGAAACCTGGAGTTGCAGTCCCAAAGCTGTCCATCAGAAGAGACTGGTGTCTGGACTGCATTTTGGGTCACATGGTTGTTTATGGTCTCCAGGTAGAGTTCAGAAACCAGAGCTCCATTCTGGCATTCCTCGCCAGGAATCCAAGGCTATGCCCTGCTTCTGGCTGAGGATGAGATGGAATTGTGCATTTGGGGGTCCTTGCTCCTGAGCTGCGGGGCCAGTTTTCCCTCCTGTCCTTTTCAGTTAGAGGGCAACAAAAGTCACAGTTAGCGTTTTGTTATGTTACTTCACAATGAAAATCATCCTTTCCCACTCAGACTTCCTCCTTCACCCCCAGCCCTCAGGCAGGCCCTGCTGAACTACTTTAAGCTACTGCTGAGAAGATGCATTCAGTTTGAGATCTTGGAGATGTCACTTGAGGGCGGAGGGAAGGAGTTGCTGGCTGCCCTTGTGTGACAGTCTTTCTTCTCTGACCCCAGGACTATGGTGATGTGAATGTATCTTGTGGTATCTGCCAGCTATTGCACACCACGCTGTAGTGAAAAACATGTCTCTCAGCACACATCAGTTACCTGTGCTTTTTCATCTTCCAACCATAACCAGCAGCTCAGCTCTGTACACGTCTACACACAAACAACAGTACCTGGACCAGGCGGGTTTCTCAGATACCTTTGTGTCTAAATATATACACACATGTAACCGTAATAATGACAGGGAAAGACGCCATGGATTTGGAAGGGTGTGGGAGGTGTTTGCCTGAGAAAGGCTGCAGGGAAAAGGAGTGTGGGGGAATGATATGAATGAAGCAATCGTACAGAATTCTCAGAAACATAAGCTAAAAAAAAAAAAAAAATCAGGAATTTTTTAATGAGGTCTGGTTTAAGTCAGATGAAATCCAGATAGGGTTCATCTGAAATTTAAAGTTCCGCTTTTGCCTAAAGTAAGACTGTTGTGGGAAATTGTGTAGCGTGTAGGACCCAGTCCACCCTGCTCCAGCTATATAGAGTGGACGCTTACACAAACAGTAGCCTCCTCTTCGGGCCTAGCTCCACGTTTCATCAGAACGACGGCGTCAAAGAACCTCTCTGTAGTTAACTGTTTTTCCTGGAGGACAGATCTAAGCTGCCACATGTCTAACATTTATTAATCAGTGCTTCCTGTATATTAGGATTTTAAAATACTTTGTAATATAATTTATATCTATAACCTATAAATGGATAAACGATCACTTCTAAGTGGATAAAGGTCGTTACCCAACTCTCCCCAGGAAGTGGCAGTAATTTTTATTTAACAAAACCTCTCTCTCTATGTAAGGGGAAACCTATTTAGAGGGGTTAGGAGTACAGCTGGCATGCTGGCTTGGGTCATCTTTCATACCCCACCTGTCAAATGGCCTTCTCTGTATTCATTGCATTCCAATGTCTGTAAACATGTTCTTTCCACAGACGTGCTCTTGTTAGGAGTCTGGTTAGCTATACGTTTTTGAAGTCTGTGTTACATTGCATTAATAGTGGAATAACTTATTAGTGGAATAACTTTATGCTTAATAATTTTCATGACACATGTTAAAAGTGAATAAATATATGTAATTTATTCATGTTGGCTTTGATAAGAGATGGGCTTTAATTACGTCAGTCTTTTAAGGTGTATAGATGTTTGTTGTTTAAAATTTATGATTAGGTTACTAAAGAAAGGAAAATGCTATAGAAGTCAAGGTCAGAGAAAACAAAAAGAAATTAACGGTTTGTTCAATACAACATTTCTGGACTAAATGAGGAATTTTCAATAGGAAATGGGAAAATTTTAGTTTGTATTTAGGTCAATATTTTGCTCAGTGTTAGCTGTAAACCTGATAGCATATAGAATCACCTAAAAGGCCTCTGGGCATGGTTGTAGGTGATTTTCTTAAGTACTTTAATCAATGTGGAAAGCTACAGTTTAATCGTGGGCAGGATCACCTCGCAGCTAGGCAATCCCAGACAGCATGCAATGGGGCGAGGGAGCTGGGCCCCCTCGTGCATTCCTTGCTGCTGATTCTTGACTGGATATAGGGTGTGGGCGGCTGCTGCTGATTCTTGTCACCTTGACTCCCCTCTGTAACAGGCTGTCCCTTGAGCTACGTGCTAAAATAAACGCATATTACTTTGTCAGAGTATATTATCACAGAAGTGGAGAAAAAAATCTAGAGTAGCCATTATAAAAGGAGAGAAAGTAGAGTTTGGAGAAAAAGAAGTGGATGAAAGGGAAGCAAGGACACAGACAAATTGAAATTAATACACCGATAGGACAGATTCTAATTGCTGAGTCAAATTCCATATTTTTTATAGTTCTATGAATCCCTTCAAATCCCTTGGGGAAAGTTGTTACAGCACAATAAATAGTAAATTTATTTATGGAGGTTGTTTGTGGAGGTTGTTATGGGAGGCCAAAGATTCCATCTCTAGCACAGTCTGGGTTGAATATCAGGTGGCTCAGGTGCATGGCTGTCTCTTCTCAGCATCAGGAAGATTACTGTACTCTTGCAGGTACTTGTTATGAGAAATGTTTATATAAAAAGATGTTATGAAGATTATTACAGAAAGAAAGACAAAACAAATATACAAAAATAGCTTTATGGTACAATATATGCTTGGAGAGTACTGGGAACTGATGAAAAGGCGATTCTTTAAAAATTAACATTTGTTGAGGCTGGAGAGATGACCCACAATTAGGAGCACCTGCCGCTTCTTCCAGGGACCAGAGTTCAGTTCCCAGCCTTCATGTTAGGCAGACCACACCTGCCTGTAATTCCTGCTCCATGGATCTAACATCGTGATCAGGCCTCCATGGGAACACATACATGCGTGTGCGCGCGCGCACACACACACACACACACACACACACACACACATGCACACACTCATGCACACACACACTCTCATCCCCCGTCCACTCACCCCCCCCACAGAGTAATAAAAATAAATATTTAAAAATTAACATTTCTTAAGAATCCTTTTTGCTTATAGTATTTATGACCTTGATTTGGAATCATAGACAAATATTAAATATATGGCAAATGAGCTTAAAATGACTCAAATATTTCCTGACTGAATGTGTTCCACAACAATTCTGGCATAACTTTATTTTTCTAAAAGCTAACTTCACTAAAATTCACGTACCTATAAACTGAATAGCATCACTCTGGAAATAGACACTAATATCTTACCAAAATGAGCCCTTAGTTCTTGTACATCAAACAGTCCAAGCTTTCTAGAGCCGGAGTCCTCCTAGGCTTCTGGGTACTGAAGAGAGCTGACTTTCGGTCGCCCTTTACTGTCGTTGTAGGTAAACCTCTTTTTCCTGTTAAACATCGTACGCGTTCTCATCACCAAGCTGAAAGTCACGCACCAGGCGGAGTCCAACCTCTACATGAAAGCTGTGCGAGCCACGCTCATCCTGGTCCCGCTGCTGGGCATCGAGTTCGTGCTTTTCCCGTGGCGGCCGGAAGGAAGGGTGGCGGAGGAGGTGTACGACTACGTCATGCACATTCTGATGCACTATCAGGTGAGGCCCTCCTCCTCGCGGTGCTCCCTGCGTGGGGGCGTGGGGGCTTGGCAGGCCGGCGCCTTCATTCCTGTGCCTTCCCGTGGGCTCTTTTCCTGCTGTTGCTTTGTCTTGCCCAACTGGATAGGACAGTTGCTTATCTTGTTATATTTCACGTTGTTACACATTTTGAATGAATGAGTGAACGATTAGATGTCACTGATACCTGCCGGGAGTGGGAAAATCAGTTTTCTCCAACAGAGCGAGGCTGGGTGTGTCAACCACCCCAGCACAGGCCTCATGGTCACAAGCAGTTTACCAGCACATAATGGACCCCAGGTTTCTGTTTGTGGGTGTGTGTGCACGCTTTTATTTGTGGTTTTTATTTTGTTTCCTTTTTTTTTTTTTTGAGGGAAGATATTATTGTATTGGGTTTTTGTTTGTTTTTTTGAGAGAGAACTTAAAAGTTGGATGGTTAGGGATGGGGAGAGGATCTGGAAGAACCTGGGGTAGAGAAAGAATATGACCAAAATATTTTAAATTAAAAAATTGTTTTAAATAATAAAGGATATAATAAAAACCCAGATAATTCTACTTTTTAACAGGGTCTTTTGGTGTCTACAATTTTCTGCTTCTTCAATGGAGAGGTATGCCTATTGATTCTTCTACTTTTATAATTTATACAATGTTGTTTTAAAATAAATAAACCCCTCTCAAAACAACTATTTCAAGTGCCGATTTTATCATAGAAAAATAACATAAAATTACTTTGTGTAGGCACAGATATTCATCTCAAAAATTGCAGGTAATATTGGAGTTGAACGGTAGGAAAAAGCTAGTCTTACTTCTAAATATTCCAGTGAGTAGTTTCTATTCAGCTACCTCCTTGACCTACAATTAGAAAGTACTGAGTCGGCCAGGTGGTGCTGGCACACGCCTTTAACCCAAGCACTTGGGAGGCAGAGACAGGTGGATCTCTGAGTTTGAGGCCAGCCTGGTCTACAGAGTGAGTTCCAGGACAGCCAAGGCTTCACAGAGCTCAGACTAAAAAGAAAGAAAAAAAATGTACTAAGTCTGGATATTGCTCTGGGAACAGGGCTGGATAATCTTTAACTTCACAGAACATATACTGTCACAAAAAACAGAATTTATTCGTTTTTTCCCCTTCTCTTTTTCTTTTTAAAAATTTTAATTAATTATTTATTTCAATTCATTCACTTTGTATCCTGGCTGTAACCCTCTCTCTCATCTCCTCCCAGTCACACCCTCCCTCCTTCTTCTTCCCCCATGCCCCTCCCCAAGTCCACTGATAGAGGAGGTCCTCCTCCCCTTCCCTCTGACCCTAGCCTATCAGGTCTCATCAGGACTGATTGCATTGTCTTCCTCTGTGGCCTGGCAAGGCTGCTCCCCCTCAGGGGGAGGTGATCAGAGAGCAAGCCACTGAGTTCATGTCAGAGACAGCCCCTGCTCCCTTTACTAGGGACCCCATTGGAGACTGAGTCTATGGGCTACATCTGAGCCGGGGGTTTTAGGTCCTTTCCATGCATTGTCCTTGGTTGGGGTGTCAGTCTCTTCAGGGCCCCAGGTCTCAGTTTTTTTTTTTTTTTTCTGTTGGTCTCCTTGTGGAGCTCCTGTCCCCTCCAGGTCTTTCTGTCTCCCCTTCTTCCATAAGATTCCCTGCTCTCTGACCAAAGTTTGGCTATGAGTCTCAGCCTGCTTCAATACCTTGATCAGTGGAGTCTTTGAGAGGCTGTCTGTGGTAGGCTCCTGCCCTGTTCCCTGCTCCTGATGTCTATCGCATTTCTCTTGTCTCTTTTCCAGTAGGCTCAACTATGCAATCTTTTCAAAGTTTTTATTACAGATACAAAAAAATTAAAACAAGTTATAGTAAAGCAGTAATTAGGAAATTTAACCTAGACTGCTGTGGCACGGTTAGTTTTGCAGGAGGACTTTCTCTTTGAGAGGCTTCGGGAACCTCCCTGGGTGACGCTCCCAGTCATGTGGACATTGTTACTGCAGTTGTTTGGGTGTCCCTGACTTTGATTTTTAACTCTTCCTGACCGGCTTGGCTAGTTTTTATCTGGAGGGTGCTAGAACAGTTGAGCACAGCACAGAGATCTAGGCAGCAACTCAGTGAGAAATGGGCACAGAATAACTGCAAAACCCATCAGCAAACCTCACACGGGAAGCGCATGGACCAGATGGCACAATATATGTGGATATTTTCTATAAAATTAAGTACTGGAAATTACATCTATCTCATGAGAAACTGTAAAGTACTTTTTCCTGGTCTAAGTAAGCATTTACTTTCTTTTTTTCCTCTTTGGAAATAATCAAATTAATTGTTTAAAGTTAAAATTAAAGTATATGTAATCAAACATATAGCTATTATATTACATTTATTTCTAACACTGTGTGTAAGAGTGGGCTATAGCTGAGCGCTGTCAAATGTAGCTCTTGAGTTCTAATATGGGTCGTGTCTCTGCAATTCCACCTTATACACAGAATGACTGTTTTCCTCTAGCGGCTGACACTTGTACACAGAGAATGCAACGAGAAAGGACAGATAAGCCACCTGACAGGGAAACTCACGCAGCCTTTAGTACGTGCGTACACGCATGCGCTCACTGAGGCCACACCGGTTACATGTTGATGAGAATGATAGGAACACACCTCAAAGAGCATGCCTGAAATACGGAAGCTGTGCTCCTTTGCCATAGAAACAGATTGGTGTGGCTTTTACCTAGTTACATCATAGTCACCTGTAAGCCAGGAGTTGAAGAGGGTGCCGCAGGGGAGGGGGTGGTGGAAAACGAACAGGTGTTACCCTCAGACTCTGGAGACGCTTCTTTCTTCCTAGAAGTTACCTTTTAGGGAAGACCTGGAGCCAAGGGAAGTGTATTTGTCCTCATAAAAGAGCAAGAAAAGCAAGTTATTTGCACTAATGTTGGAAAGGTGAATGTGAACTTCTCCTACAATACCCACCTAACCACATCCTGAGAGCCGTGTAGCTCCATTGCTGTGCTGGCCGGAGAACTCACTGCTCAACGAAAAGCCATGCAGAAACGGGAGCCTCAGGCACGCTGCAATCTAAGGTTCAAATTGGCACTCTCCTTCAGAAACAGTGTCCAGGGAATACGGAAGTTCCTGCCTTACACTCCCGCTGTCCCTTATCTGTGTAAACAAGAAAGACGGGACCTTGTTCTTCTGCCATGCCTTAAATTGAGGAAATTTTGGCATTGGAAAATTTTAATAACAAGAAAACCTTTGAACTAGGTTGTTGCCAAATTCTCAGCTCATCACAACATCGTTAATATCTGTCCCTTGTCCTGCCTGGGAGACAGTCCCTGGTGGAGATGATTCATCCCTCACTGTGGAAACGCTGTAATTTCTCCCTTTTGTCTCTTTGCCGCTTGCATTTTCCCACCCTGTAACATGAAGCAATGGCTGCCAGGTTCAGTTTGTGTGGTTCCAAATATGTCATGTTTTTGTTAAGATCTTTTGCTTTGTCTTAGTTTCCTACTCGCCCTTCACGTTAGGTCAAGTGGCTTGCTTCTGCCCAATATCTGCACTTGCATTTGACTCTCTGCTGAGTTTATTTGTGAAGCAAGCATGTACTTTCCTCTGAGCATTTCTTGCTAGTTAACTGTAGTTTGACAAGTAGGCAGGCCACTCAGCCCCTTTCCATTCCAGTAAAAATAGGCTTGGGTAGCATCAACAGGGGGCTCTGGCCATCAGAGCCAGCGAATCAGAGCCAGTGAATGTGACATCGATGCATTGCAAGCATTTCATCAACTGAACAAAAAAATGTTTGAGAAGCCTTAACTCATTCTGTAAAGAAAAATGGGTATTTTCTTTATAACTATCATATTCTTAAAATTTGATTTAGATTAAGGAGCATTGTTTGATCCTTATCATGTATGAATGTGCATATATTATGCTAAGCATTTGATTTAGCATAAAGCTCTTACATAAACCAGTGAAACCATATTCATATGTGCCCAGCCACATATTTTTCATTTTTCCCATTTAAAATTATTGATTGTCTAATTTAATACTCTTCTTAAATTAGAGGAAAAAGTTAAGAACGTAACATTCTTACCACACAAGGTTGTAAAGACCACTGGTCTTTAATTAGATTCATTTTTTTTTAAACTTTGGTAAGTAATAACCCACACTTCAGGACATAGTCCTTTCTGATGACTTCTTCACTCAGAAGAAACAAGTTGATGATCATAATCATAAATTGTTCAAGGACAAACATCTAACAGCTCATGTTCATTTTGACCTCTGGGATTTGGCTAGTTTTTCTCTTAGAACTATCAGTTCAAGGACCTCACGATGGCTATCTTCCAGTTGGCATCCTTTCAACACTGGTCTGGAATATTTTATGGAAGATACATCCGACTTCCATTCAAGTTGAAGCTATGCAGTTCCAGTCTCTAATTAGTCTAGCATCCATAATAAATGAAAAATATAAATAAATATCAGACTAAAATACTTACTACCCAGAATAGTTACATAACTGTTCAAAAGTATATCTTGTTAAAATCTCTGAATGTTTACTTAAACACACCCTTGAAGGCCACTGTAGTTACTGTTTGCTTGCATTTTTGAAGACATCATATGCATAATTAGCAAGTTATGTTAATTTAAATCTTATTTGTTGAGTTAGAATTCATAAACCATGAGGGAGGCAAATAGTAATTTTGTGCAAGATAAATATATAATTATTCTATAAGTCTTTTATTTATATAGTACTTACATGAATATACATTAGCTTTTAGTACCAAATATAAAGGAATGGTTCAAAATTGCTGAAGTTTTTAATGATATATTTATAACTGAGTTTATAGCTTTTACTTATATAGTAACATTAAATGGATATTTCAGTAATTAATTCTGAATTACATATAAGAAATGAATGACCCCATTTTTTTCTTTTTTTTGACCATTCATTTTTCTTTACTACTAAAACATGAAAGAAGACAGGAAACCTTCTGTTTTTATCTTACGTGGTAGCAGAGAAGAGACTTGAAAGTACCCCAAAGCTGTAGTCTCCACGAATCTTGGGCACACATGGGTTACACACCAGCGATGGGGCAAATACTTTACGCCTGAAAGTGCCAGGCTCCAGTCAGACTGCACACACCACATTCTGGAATAAAGATGACATCATCCAAGACGGAGACTCTCACGAGTTTAAGGATTCAGCTTGAAGGAAGTCTTTCTAGTGGCCTAAGTTTAATCAGAATCGGAGCCATCATATCCGACATAACTAGCCATAATCTGGAATTTCGGTCAGGGAAAGCATTAAACTCCACGTCTGTTTTAAGAAAGAAAGCTACAGAGGAAGAGGAGGTGGAGCTTAGAGCTCTTGCTGCGCCTGTGCACGCAGAGCACCAGGCTCAGGCCCCAGCACCCAGCGATACCTCAAGAACATCTGTAGCTACAATTCCAGGCACCCAAAAGCCTCTTCTGGCCTCGCTGTGTACCAGGCTCGCACACATGTGATACGCTTACAAACATTCAGACAAAACATTTACATACATAAAATAAAAGTAATACATTCTTGAAAATATTAAAAAGGAAAGAAAGACAAGATACGCAGAAGCGGAGAAGTAACATCCCTACACAATTTTTGCAATAACTTTTGTCCAGTCTAACGCATTGCATTATTTTAGGTTTGTTAAGTCAAATGCCTTGTTATTTCAGAAAGTAGCACCATTTTTAGTGTACACAAATCATTCACTAAATCCTACTGCTAGTGATGATAATTTTCCCTGTGTCCCTATATTCTTTTAATGTACGTATTTCTCCAATCCCTAAACGCTGTCAGTACTTAGACTGTTATTTTATTAAGTTACTGGTGTAAAACCAGATATACATATTATGTTGTTTGGGAAAGGCCTAGATGAATTGTGTTTGACAAGAACACACACACTACATGCAGGTTACTAGACCTTTAAATTCAAGACATGGAAGATGGGGGGAGAAAGGCCTGGAGTGGACAGGAGATCCACAGGGAGACTGATAGAGCCAGAAAATCTGGGCACAGATTTCTTTGCAAAGACTGATAGATCAACCAAGAAACATGCATGGAGATAAACTAGAACCCCTGCTCAGATGTAGCTCATGGCTGCTCAGTCTCCATGTGGTTTCCCTAGTAAGGGGAACAGGGGCTGTCTCTGGCATGAACTCAGTTGTCTGCTTTTTGATCAACTCCCCCTGGTGAGGTGGCCTTAATAGGCCACAGAGAAAGAGGATCCAGACAGTCCTGATGAGACCTGATAAGCTAGGGTCAGATAGTAGGGGAGGAGGACTTCCCCTATCAGTGGACTAGGGGAGGGACATGGGGGCTGGGATGTGAGGATGGGACAGGGAAGAAATGAGGAAGGGGGTACAGCCAGGATACAAAGTGAATAAATTGTAATTAATAAAAAAAATAATAATGATAATAAAAAATTAAAAAATAAATTCAAGACATGGAATAAAAATAATAAAATACTTTTTGATTTAATTAATCAAAAGTACAGATTAATTGCACTGTGTTCCCTAATGTGAAAGTGTTTTACCTAAAATTGGTGTGCATGTGTATGCGTGGTACTAGGACTGAATTCAGGGCATCACACTTGCTAAGCAAGCAACCTACCAAGGAGCTAAGTATTTCTCTCTCTCCCTCCTTTTTATTGGGCACCAGCTGTCAGCAGGCCTGAACTTATTTAATACTGCCACGCAACAGGCTCTGACCATGCAGTACCCTGCCTCAGTTTCATGGGTAGCTACAACTACAGACCAGGACCACGTGGTCTTCCTCTTACTCCTCTTACTTGAAACAAACGAACAACAAACACCCTTTCTACAGAACATTTTGCTGTGCCTCAACTAGAATAACGTCAACTCCACTAACAGGTTGTTCTTACTGTTCCTGTCTCTTGTCAATTGGTAGGTTCAAGCAATTCTGAGGAGAAATTGGAACCAATACAAAATCCAGTTTGGAAATGGCTTTTCCCACTCGGATGCTCTCCGCAGTGCTTCCTACACGGTGTCAACCATCAGTGACATTCCTGGATACAGCCACGACTGTCCCACTGAACACTTGAACGGGAAAAGCATTCAGGATATTGAAAATGTTGCCTTAAAAACAGAAAAAGTGTATGACCTAGTTATGTGAAAATACAGAGATCTCACCTGATCTGTGCCACACGAAGCTATGATATGATAGTCGGAAGGTTTGATAGCAAGTGTTGTGTTGATAATGTTTAACAGTCCCCTCTCTCTCAGTGGGGAAGGCCTCAATCCACACCACTGGCCAGTAAATCCTCCCACTGTAGCTGATTTCAAGTTACCAACCTGACACCGCCGGCTGTGGAACTGGAAAGAAAGAAAGAAAGCACAATCAACTCTTGGGAACAGACATGCCTTGGAAACCACAACCCTGCATGAGCTCACAGACGGATGACCGCACGCTCACACACGCACAGAGCAGCGTTCTGCTCTTCTCGCCTGAGGAGACCTCACTCTGTCTTACAGACACGAGAGGACAGTTTGTTTTTTGTTTGTGGTAAAACTCTGTCCTATTGACATTTGGTAGCTGTGGATGGTTTGCTCAGAAAGACTCCTACCCTCTTTAGAACTTCCCCAATGGACTACACGAGGTTCATTATTTCTGTCACCTCATGCTCTTCTCTTTAAGAGAAGCGGCTGAGCAGAACTCCCACGGGCTTCTCAGTTGCTGCTACATACACTTGTATCCTGTGGCATATCCGTTTTGACACTTGGTGAGCAAAATCTACAATATACAATCCCTTTCTGAATCACTAGGGAGATATATTGGTAGAAGCTACAAATACTTTTGTCAGCTACTTTTTTTTTTTTAATCTTACTGCATGTGTGGGAGGAAATCAATTTTCCTGAATCTGTAAATAGAGACTTTGGCCTTTCCATTTCTACTGTGTAGACAAGTGATCAATCATTTCACATGAAGGATTTCTTTTTATCTTGAAAATCTGAGAGAGAGAGAGCTTTTGTACAAATGAACCTGTAAATACTGTCAGTTTATTTTATTGTTTCAATTCAAAACACAACTTAGGTAACTGTTTTAAAGCAGATAGATAATGCAACATCATAGGCGATGTGGTTTCTGATGCCGTGTCTGTGCTGACTGCGTAGTGAATAGAGCCCTCAAGTCTGCATTTGGCAAATATTTTAAGGACAACCAGACGCCAGCATCAGAGGTTTAAGAACTAAAAACAAACTCCAGAAACATGAATGATCAGCCAGGAAATATTTATTTTAAAATGCAAAACCATAATCATATAGCACATTATCTTCGGTGTGCTCATGTATTGCTTCTTCCATTTTGATGACAACGCATTCAAATCCAGAACATTGGAACAACCACAGTTGTTCACAGAAATGCTAGTCTGCCATGTGTGGACTTCAGTTCACTAAAATATAGCTTTTCTGACTTTTACTAAGGGAAGATATGAGGTCTTGAAAAAGACACAGGTTATTATTATTTTTTTTAATGAACCACAGAGGAATTTTCTCTTTGTAATACTCACTGTTTTAGCATTTCAGTAGACTACTGTGGGCGACAGTACAAGTCAGGGAAAAACTTGGCCTTGTCATTGAGGAGAAACTGTCAGGCATTTAGGTAATAATTAAATTAAGACAGAAGAACGCATTGCTCATGAGATAAAGTGGCATTCTAAATGGATTTAGTTTTTCTAATGTTGCTTTCTTCTGGATTTTCTGAGGAACAAGATTGACTTAAGTTAGGAAAAGTCATTTTGGGGAAAGTCACATGTATGTGTCTTTTTGAAGTGTTTCAGTCATGTTACAATGGACGAAAGTAATAATTTAGTTATCACCACTTGTGTCTCAAGATAGCGAATTCAGAAGTTCAGAAGTTGTTTGAAGTTGTTAAGGAAAACAATTCAAGTTATCAAGAGCTGACATATCAGCTGATCAGGTAGATATATTTGTAATTCATTTATATAGGCACAAGGTATTACTAAGTTAGTTTGAATTTTGTGGATTTCATGCAAGCCATCACTAAAAAGGATTGCAGGCCGTTCTGAACTTGCAACTGCCTAAACTGTACAGAACTTCCTTTTAATACACTCAAATTTTAGCTATTTATTATTCAAAGGCACAGATTTATATCTTTGCTGACAGTGTTCATGAAGGTTCTGCATTCTTCCAAACAAACTGTCAAGCATTCACCATAAATGACAGTGGAGAAAGCTGAACTACTAGAGAACACAATTAAGGAGTATTATAATTTGTAACTTTATTATTCTTTTATCCTACTGAACGTAGCTGAGATTTCTTTACTGCCGACATCTACTGTGGCATAATCCTCAGCCATATCCATCTGAGATCAGCCAGTATTAGTTTTTGTAATAATATTTTGAAGCTAGAATTCTCTAAAGCTCAAGTGCCAATTAAAATCTTTCTGTGTTGCTTGTAAAAAAACAAAATATGACATTTTTTAAACAAAACTTCTCTGGTGCCTAAAAACCAAATTTTTTTTTTTGGGGGGGGAGGGGAGATTTCTAGCTTTTTAACAGTTAGATGTATCCTTTCTCTGTAATTATTTGTTAAAGTCATGGCAACATTTTAGAAGTGACTTTGTAATCCCGGAGTTCAGCATTTGTTCAGCTATAACAAACTGTACACAGTTTAATAGTCCTCTCTGCGTTGTTCTCGCTGTTAGATATTTTAATGTGAATCTGTCTCAATTTCTTTTGTGTTTTAATTTGCGCATAGAAACATTATCTGTAAAACATATTCGAGCTGTTCCAGTCACTTCAAAGAGCTCCTGTTACATCTACTTAAATCTCTATTTAGATTTTATGAGAATATTAAAGTTGCAAGTTAACACTGAGTTTTCACTCATCTTCCTGGACTACAGAGTAATTCAGTGTCTCACGAAATTCTTGCAGGAATTAAAGAAATACCTTGCAAAATAAATGATGATGTCTTTATTCCTCTCTTTAAAGACTTCAATAAACTAGTAAGTGAATTTAATAAATTAATTTGAAAGATGTGAATTTGTTTTCCATGCTAAAACTATAACATGCACAAACAGGAGTCCTGTTTGTCATGTAAGAAGAGGAAAGACCTTCTCAAATAGGAACATTTTTAGTGTATTTTTCTTCTCTCTGCACTGTATTCCAAGGAGTGAGTTTTTGTTAAATCCCAAAAATAAAAAGAATGAAAATGCCTACATAATATTAAAAAAAAAAAAGAAATGGTCATAACCTCACCCGCCCCCCAAAAAAACTTTAACATTTCAAAGATTTTGTTTGACTAACGATGGAACCAGTAACATGTCAAAATTATTCCAAGCAGAACTTAAAATACCACGTATGCTTGAGAATACAAAAACCCTGAGGTGAATATACAAAATACTATGTTTAAGAATTGTAATCAAATGCCCTGTGTGGTGGTGCATGCCTTTAATCCTAGCACTTGGAAGGCAGAGGTAGGCAGTTCTCTGTGAGTTAGAGGCCAGCTTGGCCTACAGAGTGAGTTCCAGGACAGCCAAGGCTACACAGAGAAACCCTGTCTTGAAAAACAACAACAACAAACAGAAATAATAAAATATATTTACTGATAAAATTAAGCAAAACAGTAAATACAATAGACCACACTCAGAAGAGACGGGATGACATTAAAATAATATGTTAATATTGATGTAGAGTTCAAAAATAACATAAATCTTACAGAAGACAAAAATGCTTACATTTAACAAAGATGCAAAAACAAAAATATCCCCAGAGTATTTTGAGCTATTCAGTGGTAAAAGTTTAGAATACAATGGAGCTTGCGGCCTTGCCAGGCCACAGAGGAGGAGGATGCAGCCATTCCTAATGAGACCTGATAGGCTAGGGTCAGAGAGAAGGGGAGGAGGACCTCCCTATCAGTGGACTAGGGGAGGGACAAAGGGAGAGAAGAGGGAGGGAAGGAGACGAGAGAGGGGGCTACAGCTGGGATACAAAGTGAATAAATTTTAATAAATAAAAATAAATAATATAAAAAAGATATAATGAAACTAACTAGGCAGGTCATATACTGCTCAATGCGTTTTGAAACTGCTACCTCCGAAGTTACTCATTTGTAAGAAAAACAAAGAACACAATACAAAACAAAAGGCAGAGTGTGCTGCCTAATAACAAATGCTAATCCATACACAAATGAAGTTAACATTGTTATAGCTGAGATTATATTATTGCATCATAAAATAAATTGAAGTCTACCAGCTGTTCCAAGCATATACTGTTCCAGAAGCACACTGAGAATATTGTAATATGAAATGGAATTTCTCCAGGCAGGTTTTACCATTTCCATGGTATCTGACAATCTAATATCTTTTAGCTTACTTTTTAATTGAAAATTTAACTACCACACACAGTGGTAGGTTTAAATTTCAGATAAAATTTGTTTTTGTTGGTTCTCCTCCCCCACAGTCTTACTCATCTTCCTCCCCGCCTCACCCTGTGTCCTCCAACCTTCCATCGCTCTTTTTGCCTTAATGTCATGAAAGTGTTGTTGCCCCTTTCCTGGACACTTCGTTTTTTCCCCTCCTGATGTTCTTAGTTTCTTAGTCTGTACCTGCACTGACCACTACCTACACACACACACGTAGACATTATAAGCTGAGATTTGGCTGTGAAAGAGAATATGGAGGTTTTGTCCTCTGAATTTTGGTTACCTACGCAATAGACCACTTTCCAGGTGCATCTGTCTTATTTTGTCATTTCACTTTTCCTTGTGGAAGAATAAACTCATATGTGCTATGTTTTCTTTATCCGCTGGTCCGTCAGAGCACATCTAGGCTGGTTCCATTTCCCTGCTGCTACAAATAACGCCTTAAGAAGCATAGATGCATGAGTTATGAGACAGAGTTTTTGGCTGTTTATCAGGACTGGTAGAGCTGGGTCACGTGAGCCCAGGTATAGCTAATGTTCTGAGAATACACCATAATGGCTTCCACAGAACTGTAGCAGGACAGTGCATAAAGCTTCTTGTCAGCACTAACATCTTTGCACATTGCTGCTTTGTTTTGAGTTCATGAAAACTACAAACTACACAAATTTACAACATAGTTTATAGAAGCAGATGCAGTTACTTAAAAAGTTGTTGAATTAACTCTGGTTTCATCTCTCTTAATTACAATGAAATGGTTTGTGTTCCAACTGGAGACCATTTCAAAACCCCCAGCTGACCCAGAGCCAGCTCCTCCCTTGGATCAAGAGTAACACGCTAGTCTCCAAAAGTTTTGTAAACATTTACCTCAGCTTACAGCTTGGAGGAGCAAAGGACGAAAACAGACCAGCACAGGCATCCTCTCTTCTGTCTCGTTTTGTCCCGTGTGGAGCGTGTGGGCCGCTTGTACATGTGTGGTCACGAGCTAGGTGCCAAGAGCTCTGCGAACTGCGCACTCCCGGCTGCACCGCCAGGCTGCAAAGAGAAAACACACATGCTGAACCAAGGTCTCACTGCAGCCCAAGGGCCGGGGAGTCCCCTTGCTTTTCCTCTGCTTTCCTTCATTTTTGTTTTTCTCTTTATGGATTTTGTAATTGCTATTATTATTTTATTTTTCTGTTACAAATGTTTGATGATCCATGTCTGTATGCCGAGGGCACTTTTGTAGCGGGAGTTTGTGTTCTGTGATTAACACATCTTCTATAAATTCAGGCTAAACATATAGTTTATCTAAGAGTTTAAATGTGTTTTCTTCCAGCCATGGCATCAGTTCTGGTTTGGAATTTGTAGTTCTAGCACTAGATGCATGGAAGGAAAACTGGAAAGAGGGCTTGTCTTTTGTTGTTGGGCTTGCACTGGCTTGGTGTTTCTTCCTGTGCTGAGAAGCGATCAGAACCAAGGAAGCAGGTCTTCCTAGGGCTTAAGTGTTACCATTTCCTGGACCACATCGACTCCAAATGTTCCAGCCCAGTGGCCTTTGCTCACAGAGGTAGAATGTGAGGTTTTGGTGAATTTTCCTTCCTGGTGATGGGTTGTGTATTGTCTATGACCACCCTTAGTTTCTCAGGAATGACCTGAGAATGAAGGTACTTTTCAAAGGCCGGATAGTAGCTTACACCAAATTAGCACATTTATGTACAAGTCTCCAAGGACTTTGAGATTTCTAAAAATTCTAAATTTGAAACTAATTTTCTGGGGTGTTAAAATTATTTGAAAAAGGGAAAACAAAAACTTGCTGAATTGCCTTGTAGATTTTTGTTTATACACTTGACATCTGTTAAATATGTAGGCTTATATTTAGCCTCTTGCCTGAGACATCAAGACTAAGGAAGAGCCTGGGTGTGCACGTTAAATAATAGTGTCTTGGTTTTCATAATGCATAAGTATCCATACTCGCCTACTAATCCTTTCTTGCCCCAAGTTGAAAAGAATTTTAAATAGTAAAATATTCTTTTATCTAAGCCGTAGGTTTTCCATGCCTCTAATGTGTATTATAGGTTTAACCTCATACATGTTGTTTTCAACAAGTCAAATGTCACAATTCTTAGTGATAATATCAAGCCAGCTATTTTACTATTTTTCATACTACTAGTCAAATATTACACCTATGAATCTTTTGGAACCCACTGATGTCTTTAAAGTAACTAATTTTTTGTGACTTATTCAATAAACCTGTGAGAGTCCCTGCAGAAATCATGAGCTTCTCTGTCAGATTACGAAGTCTATCTACACTGCTTTTCCAAAGTTCATTTCAGGCTTTTTCTTCCATTAAAACAATAAATATTCTTTAAATTAAACATCAAAGTTTTTGTGTCCTAATTTATTTTTCTTAATTATCTGAAAGAAGATTTGCCTTACCCAAGGGCAGCAATCCTGTCCGGTAGCTGCGTGAGCCCTTCTCTCTGCCCGGTTGTCCAGAGGTGGGTTATCATGGATGAGTTACAGAAGCAGGCGTAAATTTAACTCCTCTTCCTCCTATAAAAATGCATCCACGTTTGTTCCAGACAGATTGTCCTGACGTCCATCTTTCCTAAATTGCCCATCTGTTCACGTACCTGCCTCCCGCAGCGGAAACAGAGCCCTCAGCACACTGTACAGCAAGCGAGGGAGCCGATCCTGCTAGCGCCAAGTGTGCGGACACCTGCAAGGCCGTGGGGTCCCCGGGGCACAGCGGTTTCTGTTCACCTCATCATGGTTGGTTTCTGGCTCCCTGGCAGCCGTGTCGCTCAGACGCTCACTCTCCTTCCCCGTGTCCTCACAGCCAGTCCCTTACCTTCGTCCTAGGCTGCGCTGCCTGCTGCATGTGATGAGAGTTTCTCATATAGCGGCTACGCGATAAATACCTGCGTTAGTTCTCTCGTCGGAAACGCAGTTAGTAAGTGGCAACTTAATGAGCTTTTGAAAGCTTTAGTTCCTGTTACACTGATTATTATTAAGTTGAAATTAGTTAGTGCCCATTTCAGGCTCTGATTGGTACAGACAAGAGACAAAATAGAAGAAAATATAATAAAGTGCTCTAGAGGCCTTCTTACCATCCCCTTAACCAGAGTTTGAAGAAAGTACCGGAAAAACAAAACGAACTGGAAGAGAAACAAACAAACAAACCATGGTTTGAAAGCAGCTACTGGGCGAAGGAACTGACAAAAGGCGGGAAAACAAACAAATTACTGCTGTGCAAAGCCACCAAGTGTAGGCATGTCCTTTTCCTCACTGCCTATTGTCTCTTTGTTTTTGTACTGAAAGCAGTTCCCCCCCTTTCTACTCTGCTATTTCCTGTTTGGAGAGCCTGTCTGCAGTAACTGAGATGGAAAGAAACTTTTTTCTGGCCAGTTCATTCATCTGATACCCGCATTCAGCCATCACGCATGGCAGCCAGGTCCGCTTGGCTCCTTGCGTCTTCTGAGCTATGGCTGGTAAGGCCAGCGCAGAGCCCAGACTGCATCTGACCTTCGCTTGTTTTTATGATCTTCAAATATCCATTTCCGCAGATGGGGCTGGTTGTGACCACAAAAAGGAACGGCCTGAAATGTACCACCTCTGAGGGGTCCCGGGGTGC